ATTTTATTGGAAGAAAAAAGCAACGAAAAAATTAAAAGACAGCAATCCACTTGAATCACATCATCGACTGAATAAAGACGTTTTTGGGTGTTAAATTACGTTTATTGTGTTTTGTAAATCCTTTTGAAATATCTGAACTTTTTCCATAAATTCAATAATTATGACTTTTTGTTTTATGCTTCTGTTTTCCTCTATTAAATAAAGATAGATTAAATCGTAACAATAATATACGTGAATTAATATCTTTTTACATTTCAAATCTGTCAGCGACTATCCTTTTGCTTTGTTTTTGATAACAAAACCAACAAAATTGGTTTCCGTTACACGCAAATCCAATTTCTGTTTCGAACGTCAAACGTCAAATAAACGTAAGGAGGCCATAGCGAACTCATTAATTTAAACATTTGTTTTTTTACATACCATGATCTCAAAAACTAAATAGATTTGGAGTTATTTACTGCATTATATTAACAGTTGATTGTACCCGAAATGTCTTTAAAAATTTTTTATTAATAAAATTCTTATTATTAATGAACCATTGTTCTTACTTTTAATCAATATTATTAGATACAAAAGGATAGCTGAATTTGCAAATAAAACCAAATAAAAATAGGAAAAAAAGTTAAATTTTGCTGCACCGAAGCTAAAATACCCTTCACAAATAAAAAAGTTTTCATACAAGAACTTGATTTTGATTAATCAGCGGTTTGTATATCAGCCATATGTATATACTAATATCTGAAAAATCTGCTGCTTTTAACGTTTTGAAATGGCTGCTTGAGTGATTTCCAAAGATTCTGGGAGCTCTTCTTGTGTTTGGCAACAATCTTTATCGAGTAATGCTTCAAGTTCTTCATCTTTTGATCGTGCAAACCACTTTTGACATGTTCGCTCAGCTAGGGATTTTCACCATAAATATACATATTGAAATCGATCGATAAATTGTCAAAGTTCCATAAATAGGCAAATAGAGATTCTCGTATAAACTGCATAAAGACAAATATATCGGCAATGTGTGGGTTATCTTATTAAAATTAGTTGAACAAATGAACAACAGTCCAGACTTCTACAAGCCACATATAGTGTCGACCATTCGATTCACTTTAAATTAGTTAATGTGTTCGATTTTTAATAAATTTCAAAACTATGTCTTTTAACCTCTGCAGCTCGAAAGAAGAGATAGAGATTTTTAGATTTTATACAACTTTTTGAAAACATGAAATACTAGTGCCAGATAAAAGGTTATTTTTTCTCGAAATTCTGAGGCTGCCATTTGGTAATTAAAAAAAAAATCCGATCAGGCACTAGATTATCTATTAATGAATTAAGGTTGGAACTGGATCAACAACAACAGCCATTATTTTTAAAATAATAAAATATATATACTATGTATGTCAGAATTGCAATCATATACGCATATTCAATGGTGTCACAGATTGATTGGATATAATCAAAAATAATATTCGTAACAGTTGGGGCTACTTATTTAAGAACAAAATTACTAAACTTATTAAATCACAAGATTTTATAAATTTCAACACAAAATGAATTTTAAATATCCATTAACAAAATAAAGACGAGGATAACATAGAGCCGTTATACCAGCTTTTATTTCAGTGAAGGGAAAAAAGTACAAAGATAGTAACAATTAAAGTTTTACGTAATCAAAATAATCCATTTGATGTTTAAGGGTGTTTAACTTAGAACATAGCAGCGTCTGCTATCCAGCGTTTACGGCTTAAAACTCATTTCTTCAATATATTAAAAAACTATCACATGAATATATTTATTGCCTTATATCTTTCTTCTTAAAACTATATTAAGATTTCTAATTGGAGATTACTAATAAGATACATATATGTAAACACAAAGACATTGCGCAATATGCAGATACTTATATTCTGCTATAGAGAAATAAGTGTTTGCATATGTACTCATACATACTTAATACATTTTGCCTATTATCGGCAACTCGGAAAAAAGTATAATTACAAAATACTTTATGTGAAACGCTGTTTTTTTCCCCCTTTTGATGTCTTCTATACTTGTTTACCTATGTATATCATATTCGATTATTTTATTTTCATCACAATATTTATTTTGTATATACAAAAAAACGAGCCTACCATTTACACATTTTTCTAGAGATTTTCGCTTATATAAACTTTTTAAATGGTTTAGACATACATATTTTAGCTTTAACATTAGAAAAATTATATTTGATAAAAACAATACACGTGTATATTGTACAATTGCCTTCATATTCAACCGAAGTAAAATTTTGTAAAAAAAAAATTTATATTATATTTAAACTAGTTTGCGTGCTGTAATACCTATATATTTTTAAATATCGATATAAATAGTTTTACGTGCCAACAAAATAATATTTTTCAATAGTATAGTTAAAATAAGAAGCATCATTCCAACCACATATAAAGGCTTTATCAAATCAACGTTATGATGTTTCATAGCTTGTTAGAAGTGCTGCATCTACCGGTTCCATACAGCTGGGGCAAGTTAGACTACGCATAAGCCAATCATCAATACAGTGAACATGATATATGTGCATGCAAGGCAAATATCGCACTGCCTCATCAACACAAAAATCTATCATACAAATGACACATTCGCGTATTTTTTTTGATCCATCGTAGGTGCCGATTGGGAGATGTTGGATTAATCCGATTCGCTTTGCAATTTTCACTTGTTCTTCCTCTGTTAAATTTGATGCTGGGCGTCTGATCGACGGAGACGGAAAGAACACAGGCTGCAGCAATTCCTGAAAAATTAATTTAACAAAAATATTGTTTACGTTGTGAACATTTTTTACTTTCTAAGGTCAAAATAAATATTATGTTTGTTGTCAATTTTTATACTCTCGCAAGCTGTTGCTACAGAGTATAATAGTTTTGTTCACCTAACGGTTGTTTGTATCACCTCAAACTAATCGAGTTAGATAAAGGGTTATATATATATAATATATAAATGATCAGGATGAAGAGACGAGTTGAAATCCGGGTGACTGTCTGTCCGTCCGTCCGTCCGTCCGTCCGTGCAAGCTCTAACTTGAGGAAAAATTGAGATATCTTTATAAAACTTTGTAGACATGTTTCAGATACAAGATTGTTATTTGGTACACAGGATCACATTAGGGAGGAGCATCTGCAGTTAAAATTTGTTTTTTAAAGTGGACGTGGTCCCGCCCCTAATAGTTTTAATGTGCATATCTCCTAAACCGCTAATGCTATAATAACAAAATTCACTGGAAGCCATTGTTTTTAAAACCTCTACCTACAGTGTAAAAATAGTTGAAATCGGGTGGCAACTCCGCCCACTCCCCATATAAAGGTACTGTTAAAAAATACTAAAAGCGCGATAAACCAAGCACTAAACACGCCAGAGACATTAAATTTTATTTCTGGGATGGTATGTGATGACTTTATAGGAACCGCGTTCAAAATTAGATAGTGGGCGTGGCACAGCCCACTTTTAGGTGAAAACCCATATCTTGGGATCTGCTTAACCGATTTCAACCAAATTCGGTGCATAACGTTCTTCTCATGTTTCTATTTCTATGTTATAATGCAAAATGGGCGAAATCGGACTACAAACGCCTATCATATAACACTTTTACAATTCCATCTGACAAGCAACAATGATTATATCGGGGTAAAACTTGCGTGAATAATACGTTTAAAGTATGCCACCTTAACGAACACAGACATCAGTCGATCCACAAAAATCTAAGAGTATACCATTTGATTTTGCGAGAATATAAAATGTTGGGTTACATCGAACTAGCCCTTCTACTTGTTAAATTGGATATCCACTCCTTACAGTTTTCCCAACAAATTGGTGTGTAATTTCAGTTCAATTAGTCTGCTAAAATTAGTGTTGGTATATTAGAGATTTTCATCACCTAAAACTAATTGAGATAAAAATATACCATGCTCCGACCAAAAATTTTAAGTGATTATTTGTGAGATAATCTACTCATCAGAATGAAACTTTGCACAAGTGTTTCTGGAAAATTGGAGATCGATATCGCAGATGGGGTAATTGGATCATTGCCACGCCCATATACATATAGATCTGTTGTTTGGTACAACGAATCGCTTGTCGGCTGAAAATAATTATGGAGTAGATGACCCCGCCCTAATAAGTTTAATGCACTTATCTTACAAATTATGATAGCTATTTCAACCAAATTTTCTTAGGACGAATGTTTTAGCACCTCCTTCAACAGTATGAATATGGTGAAATCAGATTATACCACTCCCACAAAACGGTTTAGTTGAAAACACTAAATGGGCGAGCTCACTGAATAAATACGCCACAAGCATTAAATTTGAGGCGTGGAACGCCCATGAAATCCTATTTTCTAGATGAACAATTTAACCTAGTTTTGTATGTGCGGATACCCAAACATTCTATCGTACCCTGCGAAAATGTGCGATAACAATCACTATTACGGTTCCCAAGTACTACATATAATGATTTATGCATTAAGATCTGAAGTGAATATTTCCATCCTTTGAGTTGTTTTCATATACCTATATATTATTAGCCTTTGATTGAAGTTATATCACATTTATATCTCAATTGAGTTAAGAGTTGGTCTAAATATTAATATTTCGTCATGCAAAATTTAGTAATGAATAAGTCTACGACTTAAAATATATAATATTATTAATAACCTGGTAAGCAAAATTAAACATTTTCTTTCTAAACTCTGTTAGTGACACAGGTACTTCTGAAATATCGTTACTCGACTTACTTAAATCAACTTTTAAGCAAAATTTCTAAATCTAAAATGCTTCCGTTTAAAGGCTCTGATTGTATAAAAATTTGTGGAACTCTGGGAAACCATTATAAGACGTGTAAACGGCATTCTCTAAACAGTAAGCCTTCATGTTATGGATAGATAGATCAAGACCGACATGGACTGGAAAAAGTTTGGCCTTTGAGTAAATTTAGTACCGGTTGATATGAATGCGATGAATCCTTATAATAGCCACCGCATTATATTGACCCCTCTTCATGTAAAGTTAGGTCTGATAAAACAGTTTGTATAAGCACTAAACAAGGCTGGGGAATATTTTAAATATATCAGTAACATATTTTCGAAGTTGAGCACAGAACAAAATTAAGCTGGTATTTTTCCGTTGCTCAAATCAGGAACTAAAAATGGACAAACATTTTACTGATTGTATAACAGTTGAATCAGTCACACATTGAGCAGCTCAAATTGTACTTCCAGGGAATAGGATTTAACATGAGTCAGATACTTCTCTTAAACCATTAAGAGCCCATACGATTAAGGCACAAGCGAAGAACAAGGAGAACGCTTTCATCAGGATATACGCACTATGGAAGAACGATACCACGGTCGTTGGAATGCAAATATGGAGCGGATTACTGCTAAAGCATTAAAACAAGACTGATGTTGCTACTCATAGAAAAGCACATAAAAATTTTTCATGTTAAGTACAAGCAATATATTTTTAATTCTAAAATTGTTGTATTTTGGCTAAAATGTAATATGTTCATATTTCGAAAACTAGGTGTAGAAACTGACTACAGATTTGAAAGCGTGACAAAATCATACAAAATCGGGTAAGAAACTTCATAAAACAAATCTACTGTTTCCCAATGTAATAAAACCAAATTTGATTGTAATCCATTCGGATGTTTCATATTGAATTCCTACGCAACATTTTTAATACCAAGTACTGCAGTACATAACGGTGTTTTCCCGGCTTTGATCCTTGCAAGTTGCGAGTGTATAAACTGTTCGGCTGCACTCGGACTTAGCATTCCTTACTTGTTTCCTATATATCCGTTTGCAAAATGTATTGATATGGTACACTTATTATGTATATGTTTGGCAACCCTCTTGCTATTTTATAAATAAGACGAATAAAAATCAAGTATGATATAAAGCACTATTTCATAGAAATAAGTTTGTAGGCACAACATTGAAGAGTTAGTGGGTATAAAAGTGAACAATATAAGTGTAAATTCATTTTAAATCAAAAATTACATACTTTGCTTGTTGAAATTTGAATTTAAATGCAAATATCTGGAAACCATAAATTTATTTTCGTTCTATATATATGTATGTCATATCTATTCAAACTGGAGTACGACCTCTCTCCGCCCATTCCTATTTAATTTTATTTTATTTTGATTATTCCAAATCCCAGTCATTTGGTTTCCCAACATGGTTTAAAATAAGAAGGGTATTTATACATTTGACTTCAAATTAAAGATGAAAAATTTAAATTTTCTACTAACAGAAACTTCTATCAGTTCTTTTTATAGAAATACATAATTACGAATAAATTGGAGCCGGAACACTTCGATCGGAGGTGAAATCGTGTGTGTTGCTACTTTCGCTTCCACGTAAGGTGAAATGTCATCTGTGCTGTTTATTTTAAGCAATTGCCCATTTTATCGTATTAAGTAACACTTTGTTACTGCCTATGTACATGAAAACAGTTATGTAAAAGTATTCTTGTGATTAATGTTATTATATATGGGTAATAACAACCTTTGGGGTGCTAAATAAACACTAATGAAAGATTATTCGAACGTTATATATTTTTACAAATATAGTAAAACTACTAAAGTTTTGCGCTGAATTATAACTCTTATAAGCAGGGATGAGGATAAACAACCAAACGCCTTTCACAAAAGAACATTGATTAGTGCGTTTACATATGACAAACAAACAAATCACGGGTCTATCCGAACCAGATCTAAATTAATATTATTTCAGGTTGAGTGGCGATTAGAGTATATTTGGATAATTTGGCATTCAAAAAGGGACTATATGATATTTGATCAGTAAGAATTAGTTTAATTCCATACGTAATATATGGACCTCTGTTCACAAAAACCGTTCAGTCAACTTCTGATTGCAGACTGACTTCATCGTTGCTTTGTCCATCGTAAAACGCGGAACACATAGACGTCGACAAGCGATAACAATACGTAACCCCT